TCAAGTTCGAGTTCTCGTGAGGAACGCATTCTCGTCTCGTATTCTCCTGCACACTTTCACAGACAGCGGCGATGTTTTCGGCAGATCTTGTGTTTCGCCGACGTACGAGTGTTGGTCGATCTTTTACTGAACCAGAGGATTCACACTATAAATCATTCCATATAGTAGCACCTATGTCTGAATTTATGTTAGGAATCACACGTTAAAAGGTAAGACCTCGTTAAACCTTAGCTCGAACAAGTTTAGACTTCTGAGGGTTGTAGTTCGTAGGGGTGCGACGACATGTTTTTTGAAAAAAACTCAAATTCAACAGGAAATTGGTTGTAGTTAAAGATAAAAAATCGCAATTTTGTGTTGTGTGGCAGGGCAGATCTATTTTTGATATTTTCAGAATGTATTTCAGGAAGTGGAGTGAACTTATGTAACAAAGGTGGGAGTTGAGAGTTATGAATACTAACGGAGCTGCCTTCTAATTTCCATGTTCAGCCAGTTGTATTTTTCGAATTTGTGGGTAATTGAATCAGTTAACAATTATTTTGCACATTCTGTAGGTATATGATTCTTGAAGTATTCAACTAAAACACGCGCAATGTGTGAAATAAAAATAAGTTATTAAAATATTCAGAACATGCTGATTGCTATAGATGATTCAGAGGGATTAAAAAAATCTTTTTATGAGCTGACTTATATGCAGAGAAAAACATAAATGAATATTTATAACCAACTCACGATTTCTTGCTTGAAGTGTTAGGTTATAAGAGAGAATTTCATTATTTTCATTTCTAAAGTTAAATATTTGGATTTGTCCAAATCGAGCAATAAATTTTGTTTCTTACATATTTCTTTCATTTTATTGATTTTTTTTTTCTAGATGCTAACACATACAAATTATTCTGATTCCACTCCTGTTCTCGATTTCGAATTTCCCATTTTAAATAACAGGGAACCCAACTGCGTTTCAGTATCATTCGGGGGAATTAGAAGAAACGTACTACTACTCCAGATTAATTAAGGGTTTTCTACATAATCCTTCGACAATGGCGTTAGCAAGGAAGAGGCATCGGCGTGATTTCAGGCCTTGCTTCTAATCAAATTCTGACTGACTGGTAATCCAGTGATGAATCAAGCCACGGCATTATGCCGTTCTGCTTCTTTTTTATCTTAATGAAGAGTAGCTTCTATCGAAAAGGATTCGATAAAATATAAATATATTATCATTTATACATCTCTTGCTATCTAAATAACTACATAAATACAGAATGTTCATACTCAATACATGATGTAATTATTGATCCAAGACTATGAACGCATTCTCNATATGAATATTTTCCTCGAAATTTCTCGAAATTTTTCTTCTCAATTCGTTGACGCAAAACCCCGATTTTCTCTATGATAGTAAGTGGAAGAGGAATGTATATGCCAAATATCAGTCACTAATATTGCAGATGTTCAAAAAAAGTTCAATAAAAGTTCAAAAAAGTCCAATTTCCGAAAATTCACAACTCTGTTGTTTTTCAATAGTCATCGACATGCTACCACTCATTTTTTTGTCTTTCCATCTACTATTGAGAAAACAATATGGCATATGAGAGAAAAAATGGCACCTCAGCGATTCATGAGGCAAAATTGAATGTAGTGTTTGAAGTGTTTCCGCATTCTGTATCATTTCAGATAGAAATAGCCGTTGGACCGAGATCTCAATTTTTCCTATCAAAAGATTTCGTATTTTAGTTTTTATGTAGTTTCCTCTAGTACATCATGAAGAAACTTGCTTTAAAATTTGACCGTATTTTCTTCTCATTTTAGATTTGCTGCATGTCTCAAAATGTATCTTGAATATTTCATTTTTCTTTCATTAACATTTATTTTTGTTAGAGTATCCTTGATCATTCATTTTCACTAATTTTTTTCTGTTTTTCCTAACTCATTCGAAAATTTCAGCCAGGTAATTTTTAGCATTTCCAATAATTTAACATGCAGTTAATTCTTATTTCATTCGTTCTTCTATATACTTGAGATTTTTCACGTAATAGTGTCCGAGCTTGTACATTCATGAATAAATATTATCAACCATTTTGAATTATACAGTTCCAAATATGTGTTTAAAATGTTTAAATATGTTTTTTCCGTTAACCAGCTATCGCACCCCTACCAACGACAGCCCTCAGAAATAGAAACTTGTGCGAGCTAAGGTCTGACGAGGTCTTACCTGTTAACCTGTGATTCCTAATCTATAAACAACTATAAAAAGCCAAGAATGATTGATTTGAAATTCATCTTCAAGAAGATAAAATGGAAATAAAAAAATTATTTTTGATTCGAAGAGAAAGAAAAGCAATTCTGGTTATCGTGCTTCAACCCCCAACGAAGGATAGTTGATTATGGACGCGTCCATCTATACTGATGTATAGACATGCCGGAAAAAACTATCGCATAACGAAACACGTGTTTTATTTTCTCAAAACTGTGCAATTAAAATCCCACAATTAAGTATTTCTTGAATATGTTATGCAATTTCATCAAGTATCGGCCGATTTCATCTCATATTCAGAGAACAAAGATGTAGTTTCCACTTTTAAACTATCGTTTGGAAATAAATTTTATGTTAGCACTAGAAACACACATTTCGCAAAGTAATTATATGGCACAAGGCCAAAACCGAATTCTAACGAATCCGGTCCTGGCCTTGTGTCATATGACATCGCCAGATTAGGACTTAAACCGCTTTTCGTAATCCACTCGTTCACAAGTCACCACCTCTCCAAATTAAGTCGAAATCGGATCTTTCTAGCCCAGCATTCCTGCTTCTTTCCTGTGCCTCTTGGCATGGAAAATTATTTGTGTATTTTATTTTGTAGGCGATTTGTTCTGGATAAAATTTCACGGTACTCTTTCCTCTGCAGGATTTGACAAAAACGAATTTGAAGGGTCGGGGATTATTCAAGTAATTCAGAGTNCTTTTTTTTACCCGCGGCTGGCGTCTTACTTGAATTATTCTAAAATCCTCCATCATTGCATACCTGAAAAATAAAACAAACCTACATACAAAATTTCTTCCTTCGAAAATATACCGGTATGGGAAAACAATGATGGAAAGGTAATTTTCATATGTATATGCGCCCCTTTAACCCTCACAGTTGGAATATTTGAAAATCCTTTCAAATTGCACATCTAATTCTTACGAAGCACTCATATACCAAATTTCAGCTTCCTAGGATAGTATGGATGCGAATGTACGTATCTATTATCTTTCTATTATTTTCCACCTGCACAAAAAGGAGATTTGGGGTTTCTATTCCTATTGGCGGGTTGGCTGTCTTTCACTGCCTGAAGTGTTGAGCATACTGGCCATCGGATGCCTGCTTCCACGTAGCCCCGCTGGATACGGAAATAACAGAATCACTTGTGGTTCTGTTATTCCCTAACTGAATGGCATCCTAACGATGGCCTAATTCTAAAGTGTGTGTATCCGTGCCGAGAGGATGAATGACACTGAGCCCATCAGTTGTCTCTACGGAACCCGAGAATACCTTGGTAGGTATTCTCGGAACCTTCGAGATACCGGGCGCCCTGTCGTCGTAGCATCGCCTTGTCACGGTAATGCGGGGCTCTGCCGTGATTGACCTTCTTTCCCTAGCTACTCGTAGGACTTTTATGGACAGAGTAAAATTAAAAATTCTTTCTGACGCTGAGTCTACAGAGGAGATGGATGTCGAGCTCACGACTCCAACTGACCTACCTGAAAATTTAGATCAGGAGCGAGCCTACAGAAGATGGATGAACAGGTTAGCAAACGTTTGCGCTCAAATGATAATTTACTAAAACCAAAGGCAAATAAGCCCTGCACGGTTGAATCTAAGGCATCGTTAGGTGTAGCTAACGTGCAAAAACCCTCATATGGGAAGGTTATCGCGGTTATCAAGGTAGGAATCTTGCACCTTGACTATCCGACTACGTTATTAACGATGAAACAGCAGAGCATATACTTTGGCCCTGCCTCGCTGGAGACCGAATCAAGTTTTTAGAGTTCGGTAGAGCCGTACTCTTACCATATGACCTGAAAGACCACTCACCATGCAAACTAATCGGCTTCGTTAAGAAACTGCGTTTATTTGAATGTGAATGTGAAATTATTTTTGGAATATGACATTTGGGTCTTAATGATGGCGACAAGGAAAATCACATTATTTGATTCAGAAAGAGAGATTCTAGTGGGAGCTATTGTTTCACAGGTAAATATAATTATGCAAAATAAGTTAATGAAATTCATTTTAGTTCATATTCAAATGATATTCATATATGATTTTCTTGCCAATCAAGAACATATCCTAACTTGATAAATAAAACAATGATACAGAAATCAGCAGATTTCAAACAAATCAAAAAAAATTAATATGTAAATTATCACATGGAAAATTTAAGAAAAAATCATTACATCCAGAAATCTTGAAAACGACTAGTGTAATTTTACAACTTATTATATAAATGAATCCAAAATATTCTCAGATGTTCGCTTACTTCACAATCATAGTAAACAATGTTTTTCTTTCATTAAGAATATATTTATTTCATTACAAATTCATTTTATTCGTAGACATGTTTTTTGCAAGAGAGATGTTAAGAAATATTGTTGATCAAAAACCTCAACTTTTCACATCTGCTGATGTTGAACAAGAGTATGCTGAATTATACGATGAAAAAACTTCAGAGAGTGTCACTGTCGAAAAAAGACATGATAGTGGTTATCCAGCTGATCGATCTCAACTCTGAAACTCTATAGTCTGAAGGTCTACTATAATTAGTGTTACCAATGACAATGACATATCTATAGAACACACACACCATCCAACATAGATTAGGTCAGGTCATATTAGGTCAGGTTAGGTTCGGTTAGATAGGTCAAGTTATGTTAGGTCAGGTTAAATCAGGTCAGGTTAGTTTAGATCAGGTTAGGTTAGGTCAAGTTAGGTTACGTTAGGTTAGGTAAGAGAGAGGCGGGGATGATTATCGACAGTGGCAGACTCTATGGACCTCACGTAATAGCAGCGGCCAAAAAAGCTGAAGCTAGAGCGGCATGCCTAGCAAGACTGATGCCTAACATTAGGGGACCTGATAGCAGCAAGAGGGCGATACTAGGAGGAGTGGTACAGTCCATCCTACTGTATGGAGCTCCGATTTGGTACCCAGCCATGAGGATGGAGAAGTACAGGCAAATTCTGATTAAGACCCAAAGAAAGAGCCTAGTACGGATCATATCTGCGTACAGAACAGTGTCTGCAGAAGCGGCACAGGTCGTAGCAGGCATGAACCCTATAGACCTTCTTGCTGCGGAAAGGAAATACACCCACGAGAGGAGTGGCGGCACGAAAGAGAAGGGCTAGGGAAATAACTATGGACAAATGGCAGGAGAGGTGGGACAACAACCAGGAAAAGGCCCAGTGGACAAAGAAACTTGTACCATCGGTGAAAGACTGGATGGTCCTCAAAGACAGGAGAACAAATTATTTCGCAACGCAGCTCTTGATAGGCCATGGCTCCTTCGACAGCTACACGCATCGAATCCTGGCGAAGAGTGCGCCTACTGTCGAAATGAAGGAGACGATGCTGAACATACGCTGTTTCTGTGCCCGAGATAGACAGCAGAGAGGCAGACCCTTCAGGCTGGCATCGGAGAGCCACTTGTTATTGGGAATTTTGTGGTAATAAGAAATAATAATTGGAGAGAGTTTCGGAAATATGCCAATACCGTAATGGCCATAAAAGAGCGAGAAGAGCGCGAGCGACAACAGTAGCAAGAGTAAAATGGAGAGGCAGGCGATATAGAGATGCCAGATCATCTGACGAATGTCCGAAGAGGGGGGAGTTTTACTGGCTAACGAAGCACCAGTCACTCGTGGAGTCGGTACGGTGTGTTCGAAGGTCTTTCTCCTCCTTAAAACAAAAAGGTTAGGTAAGAGGTATAGCTCAAGCCTGGTTAGGTTAGGTCAGGTCAAATTCAGTTTGGTCAGGTTAGGTTAGGTTAGGAGGGGTTAGGTCAGGTCAAGTTAGGTTAGGTTAGGAGTGTGAATATGTGTGAGCCACAATAAAAACCCTTGCGGGTTGCGACGGATGGTCGAATAGACCCACTCGCTTTGGCCCCAACCTCACCTAACGCTACTGGCGTATGTGTAGTTATTAACACTCGCCAATTTCATTTGAGGTAAAATTCTTTTTCCGATTGTACTTAATGGTGAACGGTGAACTTAACAATGCATTAATCTTTCACAAAAGCTACAATAACATCCATCTTAAACAATATGCCTATTATATCTTGGAATATCACGAAGTCAATGACATCGCATGAGATTAAAAAATAACAAAATTCAATGAATGCTGTTTTTATAGAGACCGACACTACATGTGGGCAAAATATGTTTCATTCGTGGTGTACACTTTTTATTCCGCATGCGTGTAATTCGTGAGAATATGTGCAATTTGTACAGAGCGTGTGGCTAAATTCGGATATTATTGAAATTCAATGGTTTTCTGTTAAAATTTTTTCGAAAACTCGTAGATTTTTGAAAATACTTGCATAAACTATCATCGGAAAATTTTCTTCTGTCAGTCGTACCTGAGTTTCTTAGTCTCATTATATACCTCGCATGGAAAAATATGCGGCTCTTCAGTTTTTCAGTTTTTTTATTACACAAGTTTTCAAAAACTTCACAAACAGTTCCGTTTCAACAAGAACGTCACCGTTCGATACAGTAACACTTTTTTCTTCCTCAGTTCTCGTTGATTTTGTTAATTTTTTGAAATTTCATACCTTATGTATTGAAGAGAAACGAAAAGAAACAAAAAATGACTGTATTTCAGGAATAGTTTGAATTAGACTACGAAACGTCAAGTGTCCAAAAAGTTTTTTCTCAAATAAGCAATATTTCTTGATGAAAACGTAAATTAACTTTTGAATTCATAGTTCAATACTGTTTTATAACTTTTCGATAACTTTATGTGACCTAAAACATATCAGTGTCACTGTTTTTCGAGTTTGAAAGCCGTGGATTTTTGTAATTTCTTCCTGACGTTTCGCTGGCGCGAGTGGCTAGCTTCTTCAGAGGTTTAACCCTCATGGCTTGCTGTCCGATGACTACCCTTCAGGCTTCGCAAAGCGTATTTATGCTTTGTCAGGTAAATAATCAGTTGTATTGGTACCTATATTTGTAACTGTACTTGTACCTGCACTTGTACCTGTACTTGAACCTGGAACATTCACAATCTTGCTGCCTGTTGTCATTCTGTTCGTTATTCTCGAATTCCTCAAAATGGGGTTCCATATTCGATTGAGGTTCACCGCTCCTTCTTTTCTAAAATACCAACCTGAAAATTCTAGGGGTCGTTAAACTCATAAATTCAAGAGAGGAGACCTACATAAATCAAGTTGCTCGTTTAGAGGTATATGTTTCTGGTTTTTAATTGATTTGTTGATTTCCATTGCCTTCAACAGATTTATTTTTCTCCCTTCACTACATATATGTAGGATTTTGAGGTTATCTTCATTTATCTTGTGGTTTGATTCTTGAAGATCAATCACACATACTACATTAATAAATAAAACAAAATGAATAGCTCCAATGGCGTGATAACTTCTTGAACAGAAATCCCCAAGGATGAAGCTGGTAATACGGACTTCCCTAAAAGGTTGTTTCAGGTTTCTCGATTATTACTGCAACACTTTAATAATAATTACACTTAGCAATCTCGGAAATATCAGATATAGCAAGCAGTTGTTGACGTAACAACTGAAAATTGAATTGAATAACGAAGTTACACAAAAATGTATACTGAAAATGCTTTTGAAAACCCTCGTGTTAGTCATATCCTGATGATGATAATTTGGCTATCGAAACGCGCGTTGAGAGACAGTAGTTGTCGTGTATGGTGATTTGTTCTCATCAGTTTGTGTTTATGGGGGCGCCCACGACTATAATTGCAAATACAAAGAGAAAAAACCAATCTCCCTGTCGCAAGTTATATGCCTCCGAGCAATAAAAATGCATCGAATTAAAATTGTTTATTCAGAACGAGTACATTCAGACGTGATAATGAATATGACTGTTTACTTTGGTAGGTAAGGTTATGGATTTTGTTTACATAAGCTTTCATTTAGTTGCGTACAAATGTTTGTGTGCACACGATGAACCTTCTCGAAGGTTCAACGAGAGAGTCGGATCCACAAGGCCATTAGACAGGGAAAAAACTTTAGTAGCACAACAAACAGAGGATTGTTAAACATTTGTTTCCCACTTCTTTGTTAACTTCAAACACTACTTTCGAGAAATGACAAAAAATGAAGCTCTCATTGAGAAAGTAAAATGAGAAAATGTGTACCATGTGTTTCACAAAGTCGAACTTTACATTGAAAATGGAATTCTTTAATTCCAGTTGACAAAACCACTAAACTAACATATTTTTAATCGAATTGTCAATACTATTTATATAGGTATTTCCATTTCCATAAACCAGAAAAAATGTTTCCTGTGCAGTACAACAAAGAATATGCAGTCTTAGCACTTTCATGAGATGTCTCAAATAAACATGAATAAATTAATAATTTTCATACAAAGGGTTATAATTTGTCGAAAGTTATACCCTGAGACTTCAAAATTTCATCTATAAACGACAATTTTTTATGAAAATTGTATTATTTGGCAATACCATGAGAGCAACCAGTATGACAAAAACGAATCCGTAGAACAGGTGGTTTAATTTACTGGGTCTGTTAAAAAAAATCAGGTGAATTTTAGTTTTTCCCAAAAGATATTTATTTATTTACCAATTTCTTTTTTGTCCCCTTCCAAGAAGCTACCGTTAGATACAATATACTTGTGCCAGCGTTCTATCCATTTTTAAAGAACGATGAAGAAGCGCAGATGGAGTTGAGCTTGACTTTGGAAAAGTCACAATCGATTGACGAAGACCAGCGGCGGCAAGTGTTATTTTTTTCAGCGGACGAATTACAACAATACGACAAATATCTTATCAAAGTGAACTGTGAGTTTTTCTGTTCCATAGAAAAACTTGTTCAATTGTATCAGCAGCCATTTTCAAAAATTCTCAGCTATCGATTGGTGTATTTTGGTTCGAATGAAAGTACGTATTCCTACCTCTGATGTATTTCTACACTGACAGAAGATGAATTATAAACAAATACTTCATCTTCAAATAATTGTAATAGTCCTTGTGAGAGTGGAAAACCATTAGGGAGTAAGAGTGACGAAACCTCTGTTATCATTATAGGAGGATTTTATGATTGACACAAAAAGTACGGTGAAGTAAACCAGTAGTTCCAAATTCACCTTAATATTATACAGGAAACTCGTCAGTCGATACTGACGAAAAAAATGCTGGAAATATTAATATTTCCTAAATACACTACAGAATGTCTTTATATAGAAAGTTCACAGCTTTTTTGTCAGTAGACAAAAAGGTCACTCTTGAAAGAGCGACATATAGTTGAACCGGTACCGCCGCAACCGCTATGTTCCTGCATTTATTATCTGTATTATCTTCAAAAATATTCATTCAAATTGCATACTGTAAGGCGCCTTTTTGACAACATCATGAACGGATGAGATGAAGGATATATTAAAGATAATTTTATGAACGTGCCTTTTTTTACCCGCGGCTGGTGTCTAANATGTGACATATCTAATATTATTTATATTTGAACAACATGATACTGTTATCTCGTAAAAAACTATAATTACTATTTCTGATTCACTAACTATAAAATGTGAGTTATGGTAGGTTGACGATAACAATGAAATTCCCATAAAAGTGCTAAACTGAGACAGAAAGTGTGCAATCACTAGTAATTACGATAAAAATAAACTAGATAGGGGAAATTTATTATCATATTAGTCATTCATGTTATTCATGAGAACATTCATTCATTCATATATATTTGAGTAATTTAAAAATCGTATTGTATGTTTTATGAAAATGATGTATAACTATTTGAGCAAAACTGGTCATATTTTGTTGAAAAACGGTTGATTGAGTAACATAATCAATTTTTTTTCAGGGCTCGAAAAGTAGTTTTTTTGTGTTGATAATATTACTATTTTTAAAACCATGAGACATATTAGATACATATTTGAAAAAAATAAAGAATATTGCAACAACCACATTTCCGAGACAACACCAACAAAAAACGACATTTTACACCCAATTTTGAGATTTTTAATGAACAGTTTACAAAATCCCAACTCGTGTTTATCTATATAATAGCTTCGCTAAGCGTGTTCATACCGACCAAAACCTACATACCCTGTGGTTCATGAAATATAACAATTTGAATCATTTGACCTTCCACCTCCATAATGTCTTATAAATTTAT